AAAAGAAAGGTCGCCGCAATATCTCTTAGTGCTGGCGGAAAATGAAAACGAAGCTTAGAGAAGTGAACAAAATATGCAGCTTTAAGTTGAAATCGTTGGCAAATTAAATTCCTGAAAATGTCAACGCAGATTTGGTATCGCAAAAGAGTGCGAATCGGGTGTATGCATTGAAAAAAAAAGAAAACACAACGAAAGGAAAACGAATTAAAACGCGATTGTTGAATTGTGAAATGAATAAGCAAGTCCCTGGGCCGGGGGCAGATTTTCGTTGTCAGTAGCGACTTTTGATTGTTTCCAGCAGTGTTTATTTTCGTTCAGCTTCTTGTGCTCCTATTTTTTTTATTATTATCCGCTGTACAAACACGAATAATCAAATGCACGCAGCTGCCGTGTTTCGCAGTAAAGTGAAAGTTAAATATTTTCCCGCCCGCCCTCGGGGCGACATTCTCACATATCCACGCAGATGTCAAAGGATCCAGCAACGCTCGCCCACTCCCACGTACGTATACGCAACGAGGTATCCAAGGCCGTAGGAATGCGTATACGCCGGGTGGGCGCGTTGAAGATTCATAGGTTGCATTTTTGTGGCACTCGTTAAAATGCTATTTTGTTGCATCTCTGATTGCGAGTGAAATGACGAACCAAAGGTGAAGCTAAAGGCCACTTCACGCATACCAAATGCAACCCAAAACCAACATTCAGTAGGTTTAGAAAAATACGTCGAAATGTCGCAAAGTGGGCAACAGGCAATGGGCGACGAGGAGTGGGCGTGGTACATGCGCAATGGCTGCCGTACGGCAACTGGCCAAAAGCCATTGCGGCCCGAACATCAAGTCTCTCCCTCCGGGGACAGCTGTCAGCTTTTGGGGAACGTGGTGGCCATGAAACGGTCCGGAAACCGGAACGTTACCATACCATATTACGACAATGGAGCGCCTAAATGCTCCCACTTGCATAATGCGCCAAATCTCGTTGTTTATATCTCCAAATGGTCGTGAACTTTTGAGAATCGAGATTTACGGCGAAAGTTGGGGGAATCCTAGCAATGTACCATCTTCCATAGTCCAAGGCTTCTTCCTAGAGCTTAATGGGGGAACAGGTACACGGGGAGTCAATGCCCACTCACCTGTTGATTCCACTTGCCCGGCTTTTTGTCTCTAGCCGGGTCCCAATTAAAGTCAGGTAAATGAAATAGGGCCAGGTCGTCGGATCTGGCCAAGACAACTTTGCTTATCTGCAGCGCAAAAGTTTGACTTGGCTCTAATAAGTGGACAGACAGCATTGGGGTATGAACTGAATCAAATTAATCCACTTTGCTGAAATTTGTCAAAGCCCAGCCGAGTTGGAAGGAAACTCAGGCTGGGTTGGTTAGAGGTGAAGCAAATAAACTTGTCTGATTCAATGTGACAGGCCTTCAATGAAGATACCGTAGTAAACTTTTGCCATAAAGGATGGCCTAAGTTACAAGGCACGGTAAGTCAACCATGTACTGATTTACACGCGTTCTATAAATTCCAATAATTGGATAAATTGTTAGAGTTTGAAAAGATGAGTGTATCAATTAATTGAAAGCATAAAAGAATGCATTCATATTTATAGTAATTTAATATTAATTAAAAGATGGGTTTCAAAGCAAACTATTATCAGTTTAGTATAAATAAGAGTTATTAGTTCAATTAACAACAATTCTTAGATTACTCTCATTACTTTTTCTTAGATTAATATGGATATACCTATTATCATTTCATAATCTATTGAGAATTTATATAATAAGTAACACAACAAATTTAGTTTGAATTAAATCCCGATAAACTAGTGGTTCTCAGATCAAGGCTTCATATTTCCCACAATAACAGACATTTATGCATATTTACTAAGCAAAATCACTTTTCATGACACAAAGACAGAATCAAAAAGCAAAGTTCTCTCTCGCTCCATGGTGTCTGGCCAAAACCAGACGGAGCTGTTCCTGGCCATTTTTGTATTAAATTATGCACGGCGATAACAAAGCAGCACAATAAGGCAAATCGGAGCGTGATAAACAACAGATGATAGGCATACAAGGCGCATTGAAGGTCTGGGTTAAGTAGACAGGCATACTTAAGCAAATATGACATTTTCAAATTGTACATGGAAAACCTTTTACATTTCTCCCATATTGTTTGTTAGTTAGTTAGCGGTGCTGTGAATTATTTACAAGCGTTCGAGGGGAATCAGGTCACTGCCAATGCAAAGCACGGGGGAAAAGTTGCCGCGACAAGGATTATTGTAAGGATTTAGCGGGGAGCGTAGTGCGATGTTAAGGCGCACTAAGATCCTCTGCTGCGGCCTTCCCATTGTTGGCGCTAATGACACTTTTATAACTTTTTATAGATTTCTCACACACATAGTGCGAACTCTTGGGCCATTTATCGTGGCAACAGCGACAACAATCCTTTTTTGTATGCCAGCATAATACACATAAACGCCGGGGACGTTTATTTCGCCTTTCTTTTCGAAACTTATTTACGAGAATGTGCGGAAGAAGCAACCGGATTTGGAGACCCTGGTCCACAGGGGGGCCGTCTGGGTGGCTGGGTGGAATCTGGTATCTTGTATCTGGCATCCTAGTATCCAGTATCCAGTGGTTGTTGCTAGTATCTGTCTGCCTCTGTGCTATGTGTGCCGGAGTGGCTGCCTCGGGGCGCACGACGCACGGCGCACGGCGCGTATACGCAACGTGACGCATACGAAGCAGGAGCGGAGCAAACAAGCCGCATTATAATTTCGCAACAAATTTCAAATGCTAGGCAGGAACAACTTTTAAACTTAACCCCCACACACACACACACCCCCACAAGAGTATCTGGATGCCATAGTAACACTGATGCGTGGCAAGTTAAATTTAGAGGCGGATAAATACAACTGGGTTTGGGTTTGGGTATGGATACGGGTATGGGTAAGTAAGCAAAATCAAAAGTAATCATTGATATTTGGTTGATATTTGAACAACCCACAGGAATTATCTTCAGGTTTTCCAGAGACTCGTTTAGGTTTATTTGATTGGTCGTAAAGCTGTTAAAGAAGCCCCATCATCATCTATAAGTCTGATCATGGAGTTTTCTTTTTTAATTCAAAGACCAACCAAGGAGTAGCATGTGGCCTGCATATAAAAATGGGCCACTGGAGTCTGATTACCAAAGGAAAAACTAATTTCTATGCTCCTAAATATTTGATAATTACATTCGAAGAGTTTTTAGAAACTTATAAACAGAATAAATATTAATAACTAATAAACCTCCAAGTTTTCGCTCCTCTGAATAATTATTAGGATTTTTTTACGTAATTTCGTAATAATCTCAGCACTTTCGATTTTCTATACTACCCATTGCTTTATACCAATATATGAGACTGTAGTTTCCCGGCTGAGGGCTTAGAACTGCTAGACAAACATTGTTCGCTGCAATTCAATTGGAATTAAATCCAACCGCCGGCAACTGTGCCATTCTCGGCTGACCTCAGATGCTCTTCTTTTAGACAAAGCATAGACACTTTCCGATGCAACTCACCATACAGAAGGCAGTTTTTTTTAGCAAGAGTATCTGAAGTGCGCTATTTTTTACTCTGAACTCTGTGCACGTGTCGGCAACTGCCAACCGCCGGGTATTTGTGTGTTTAATGGTGAGATTCTGTTGCTCTCTCCCATAAAAATACATTGGAAGAAACATTTAAAGATTAAAACATACTAAACTCAACAAAGTAATATTATTTATGCCAACTTAAGTGAAGCCAGAAAAGGTTATCAATATTAATGATCTAACAATAATGTATAGTTTAAAAGAAACGAATTCATTTTTTGATACTAATCAAGAATATTTATCCTTTCCTTGTTAATAACTTTGGATAAAAATATATATACATACATATAAACTTTTCTTTTTTTTACTGTGCATTTACAAAGGCATTGTACTGCACTCCCTTTGACAAATATACTAACGTATAAAACTATGTACATCTGTTGGCAGCATTTGTAACTGGTTGGCTTTTGTTCAAATTACAAGTTGCATTTTTGCCCGCCATTTGCTCCTTCTGCCGGACATGCCAGGACCTGCTGGCTGTGTTGTCGGTGTGTCAATATCCTGTCGTCATTGTTATTACTGCAGCCCGAACATGCGCCTGCTCGTTATATGGAAACTACATACATAGTTTCAGGGCACCCTGTTTATATGCCCGACGTCCTTGTTTTGGCCAACAACTTCGACATTTGATCAACACCATTAAAAGCAGGACAGCAGAGCAGATGCAAGGATTCAGATTAAAGCTGGCCAGCAGCAGCAATTGGCATCGTTTAATTCCGTGCCAGCATCAGATCTCCCTGGAATCAGTGCAAAATGTCAACTGGCAGCATCCGGTTTCCACGGCAGCTCTTTCTTTTGCCGGTGTGCTTTCCATCCGTTCAATCCCAGCAGGGGGAAACTCGGAAAAACTTTCACTGAGCATGGCACTTTAAGCGAACCGCAAACTGTTTGCCAGCGATGAGTGCGAATTGATTATATTAATTAATGCTCAATTAGGCATGCTGATTTCGCAATGCTGTTCATTGTAAATGAATAAATAATTATGCACGGCTAATAAATCTTTATTCATATTTGCGGCAGCCTTTTATTGCTGCTGGTTTACACCCTGTCATTTTTTATTGAAACAAACTCAAGGACTTTTGAATTAAATTTGAAATTGATCGATATTGAAATTTTACTATCTGAACAGATTTAAGACTTGTATTATAGTTTTAGCTTATATTCTTTAATTCTAATTCTAAATGTTCAAACTGAGAAGTGTATAAACACTTTGGTTTAATCTATTTTTCCGCTTGATGCACTATTTATTATTTATTTAATGTCAATGAGTACCAGGTTGCTCTTGACAGTAATAACTGGATTGGCAAGCCAGCTTGATCTGAGATTTCTAGGCTTATAAGAGAGAACGCTTAAACTGGAAATATTTCAGTGCTGCTAGAACTTTATAGCCCACAAGATGCGGGTGCCTATTTTCCTTATTTCAGTGATTTCCATTTTATTTTCTAGTGAGTAAAATAAACAATAAACTTGAAATAAAAACTCACAGAAATAAATAAATTCAACAGCATCCGTTGCTCAGAATTGTGGAAAACTCGATGAGAAGCAGTTCAAGAACAAAAGTCCCACAACGGAGCTGAATGAGCATCCGTGGATCGCTCGGATCGAGCACACTGAGAAAAATGGGGATCGAACCTGGGGCTGTGTTGGCGTCCTCATAGATGCCCGTCGGGTTCTAACTGCAGCTCACTGCGTTTCGAGATCTTCTGCTGAAGTAACCGCCGTGATATTTGGCGACTGGGATGGCAGCAATGATTACGCCGATCCCGATTGCAATCGTGAGGGACTCTGCACTCCTGTACCCCAGCGCGTGGCTGTGGGTGAAGTCGAAGTTAACCGAAATTACTCGCCTGAGAAGGTCCAAAATGACCTGGCCATAATCACACTGGCGAAGGACGTGGAGTTTAGCGACTATGTCCAACCCATCTGCCTACCTCCGGTCGAGGCCACTAGAGGCGAGATTCCCAATGCAGATCTGATAGTTGCAGGCTTCGAAAGACCACCGCTCAGGGAGAGGGGAGAAGTCAATCTCATAAAGGAGCGCATAAAGATGCCATTTACAAGGACTAGTGGTGAGGAGTGCCACAAGCAGTTAGCTCAGTTTCCGGCGGAACTCATCTGCGGCAGCACTGACAGAGACCCGCTTTCCGGTAGTGCTTTGGTAGAGGCTTCTGGCACTCCTCGAAAGTATCACTTAACTGGAGTTGCAGTGGCAGGCTTTTACTCCAAATCCTTGAAAACAGATTTCCAAGGCTATGTAAATATTCGATCCCATTTAAGTTGGATAAATCCTTCATCTAAAACATCCCGGTAAAGTTTAAAGAAATTTTCTGATGTTTCTACATTAACATTATTTTACAAAATAAAAAATTTGAAAAATTTAAAAGCATTGAATTTGTCTCTTTTTCAAAAACATGTTTTCTTAGTTTAAAATTCCATTTAAATTCCATTTCAGAAATTCAATGGATTCTAGTGAATTCTAGATATGATTTATATGCGTAATAGATTAAAAGCCACAACGTTGTATTTCTGTATTGTGTAGTTAATTATTAATTTGCTGCCAAAGCTACTGCAGTTTATTTTAGTCATTAACTGGATAAACAAGCTTGCTCAATTATAAACTAACTCAGCTTATAAGAGAGCACTTTTAGACTAAAAACAACTCAGTGTAACTAGAACCTTGTAACATACAAGATGAGAGATGAGAATTTTGCCCTGACGACTTTACTTTTATTGTTTTTAGGTGAGTGGAGAATGCATTTTAAGTACAACTAATTAAGCTTGTAATTTCAGCAATCTAAGGGTCCATCGGTTGACCACTTCGAAATATTCAACCTAACAGAGTTTAATAATAAAACCTTGATAACTGAGCTAAATGAGCACCCTTCAATCGGATGGATAGAAAACACAGAAGGAATCCGTTCTCCGGATCAGCTTTAGTTGAGGTTTCCGGAGGTACCCGAAACTTCTATTTAGATAGTATTTTGGTCCTTTAATTAATTCTGATACTACAGGATCTGTTTAAGTATTCGATCCCACCTGGACTGAAATAGGACCCAATGAGATCTGGGGTAAACTTTTCTCATTAGCACTGAGGGTTTTTAATTTGTAACTGCCAAGCTGTGAGGCTGTGACCTTTGAGAGGTGTATTTTTTCCATAAATAAAGACGCAAAACTCTACGCCAAGTTCTGTGGGTATCCGTTTGACGCCTCACGCTAGTTGCTGCTTCTAATAAATTGAAAATGCTTTCAGGTTATTTGCACAAAGTTGCCGATGGCCTCTGACCCAAGTCCAAATGCATAAATCACGCGAGGCCCCAAAACACAGTTGGGGTCTTTGCTATTGGGTTGTCGTCTGCATGGAATTTAATTCCCACCGACCACATCCCATGCCCAAACCCTCGGGCCCCACAACTTTTGCCATTAGGGAACCCCAACGCTTGCCGCTGCCTGGCAATTTGGGCAATACTGTTTGTGCTACTGCTCTGCTGCTACTTCGTTTTCGGGGAAATGCACATTTTCGACACTTGGCTGGCGCCAAAAACCTTAAGTACATATCAACCGAAATAATTTATGCTACTGGTGCTGCTGCTGCTGCTGCTTCATCTCCCTCCTGTAGTCTTATCGAGGTGCAGCCAAGGAATATGGAAAAGTGCGAGCAGCTGCAGCCATAAATTCATTGAAGTGAAGCACTCGTAAGGGTGGAGCAAGCTCCAAGCGGTGTTCAGCTTGTAGCTCGGAGCGAGTGGAACCGGAGATTTGCAGAGCCAATGAATCATGCCTAATTGACGCCAATCGCCGGGCACTGATCGCAGTAGCTGAAGGATTCCGGTGGAGTCGTCAACTTGAACTTGATTACGCATACGCCCCGTTCGCCGAGCTGCGTTTACCGAAATGATTAATGTGCCATAAAATGCGCGCGCCAAAAACATTCACAGCTAGTCCCTAAACACGCAAAACTCGCACGCAAAAGCAACACAGAAGCAAAGTCAAATGAAAATACACATTTTTATGGCACTTTTTTATTGCAACACGTAAAACACAAATTGAGACAAGATGAAGTGTAAGCCAATTGCGTGCGGCCCAAAACAAGCAATTACACTTTTAAATGCAACGCACATAAAATGCATGAAATGTCTTTTTAAACGATAACGAGCCGCGATTCCAAAAGGGAATACCTTACTGCTCAGCCGCAGGCCTTCTTTTTAGCATAGTCATTATATAACTGGGCACTGGCAATGGATCGGAGTTCTTGTTTTTAAATAAAAAGTACCTTAATAAGTCATTCTGCAGATTCTATTTTAGGGAGCTATGCTCTGAAGTGCCTAGATATTAAGCGTTCAGTGAGAGATATTTGGGGTGGCTGAAAAGGATCCCGGTCAGAGGAATCTTTAAAAAGCAGGTTGTGCGATCATATCTAAGCCAAAGATACCTTAATCTCAATTTGGAGAGCTTTCCGATGTTGGCTTTTATAAGGATACTAGCATACACATCTTGAATATTAAAAAAAATTAAATATTTTTGGAATATTTGACAATTTTAATTATTAATGTTACCCCTTACAAAACTTTGAAAATTTTGTTAAATATTTTGATGAATTTTTTTCAATTAAGATTTATTTTTCAATAAGAACTATGTATGAGTTTCGGCAATCATTGGCTTCTTGGCCTATCTATATCATCAAGATAGCCTAATATAAGTGTAAATTAGGTATATTAAATAGATAGTTTTATTTATTATTTTTTAGTAAATTCGTGTTTGTAAAATATCATACCTAAGCCAAAAATGCATTAATTTAAGTTTGGATACCATTTGTGTGCTAGTTCCTAAAGGGTTAACAAATTTTCATATAAAGTTTTTAAATGTAAGGAATTAAAAATGTGGTCAAATTTTGATAACTTTTAAAATTTTTTGAACAAATTTCGAAAATGTATTTTTTTACCGGACATAGCTAGATGGGTTCAGCTCTTGATGCTTTTGGCTGAATTTATAATTTCCCTGAAGAGTATAAAATGTTGGCTGTCAAAGTCTAAAAACTGACTATCGTAAGGGAAAGAAATCAATATTCATGAAAAATGTATAATTAAGTTAAACTGTTAACTTTGAGTATACATTTGTTGATATCTTTAATATAAATGGCTGTATTACGTTATATTAAATTAAATAATGGCAATAAGGGATTTATTTGAAAAACAAGAAAGAAAAACAAACAAGCTAACTTCGGCACGCCGAAGTTTATATACCCTTGCAGATAGAAATTCTATGACTAGGAATCCATACAATTGTGTTAAAAAACAATGAAGTAATACCTGTTTTTATTTCATTAACCAATACATATTATATTTGCTGTTTTACATTCACAGATTTGCATTTTTCCTCTAAATCAAACGATCGTTTGTATGACACCTATATGATATAGTCGTCCGATTTTCATGAAATTTGACACAATATTTAAAACTTATATATAAAATGGCTATACCTCAAATTTAATGAAAATCTGTTGAAAACTGAATAAGTTATAATTTTTAATTGTATTAATTTCTCGATCCTTCCTTTGGGAGCTATATGATATAGTAGTCCGGTATTAATAAAATTTTACACAAAATTGTGAAGTATATTATGATAAATTGGCTTTATCTGAAAATTTATGAAATTCTGTTGAAAACTAAAAATGTTATAATTTTTTTTGTAAAAATTTTCCGATCATTCCTGTGGCAGATATATGATATAGTCGTCCGATCTGGCCCGTTCCGACATATATGCGAGTGAAAGTATATAGAAGGCTAACTACAAAGTTTCATTCAGATAGCTTCAAAACTGAGAGACTAGTTTGCGTAGAAACGGACAGAATGACAGAAGGACAGACGGACATGGCTAGATCGACTCGGCTGTTGATCCTGATCAAGAATATATATACTTTATATGGTCGGAGGTGCCTCCTTCACTGCGTTGCAAACTTCTGACTGAAATTATAATACCCTGCAAGGGTATAATAAATAGCTAGCTCAGCTGATTCTAAACCAAGGCTTGATCCTCATATTTAGCATACATACATATATGCTTATACATACATAATATATGGTTAAGACTTACCGGAGTAGGGGACACACAATTATCCTTAGTCATCATTGCTTAATTGCGTCCAGTTTAGAGTTGTATTCTTGGTGACTTCAATTTGGCTTTTCATGGTATCATCCTGGTTATCCAGATGTTTTGCATTGATCAGGTGACATCTTTAAGATCGAAGGCAATCACTATCACTGGAACTATCACTATTGATGTACACACTGGAAAGGCCACGGACAGACTGAGGCCAGAGCGAGTGCAGCGGCTGTATTTATACTCTCCAAGTAATGAGAGCAGAGAAAACGAGAGCAAGAGAGAAACAGATATCTCTAGAGAGGAATACAGATAATGGGCTGTCTGAAGAGAAACTCAGAGAGAGTTAAATATTCCGCACAGCTAGAGGTAAACCGAGAGAGGAGCCTATGTTTCTATACATTCACAATATGTATAACGTCCAAACATGTTCTCATGCTTTAATGTATTAAAAAATTAAAAAATTAACGTTGATACACAAATATGTTACACATTTCTTAATACACAAATAACTTGTGAAATATTAAATGGAGTTGCCATATCGATGGAAACCTTAGTATATCGCATAGTTGTAAACTATCGATATTTTTTGTTTGGTGCTCGTAAGCTATCGTTATCGCATCTTTACCATCACGGAAGAAGAAGAATTTCCCTCCAAAATCATTGAATTTTGCGTTTGTTTAGATTTGTTTATAACTGAATGTCTAAGTAAACTCGATGAACACCATTCTGAACAACTTCCAACGCGCTGAGAAAATCGGCGAGGGCACCTACGGCATTGTGTACAAGGCGCGGAGCAACGCCACCGGCCAGGATGTGGCGCTCAAGAAGATCCGCCTGGAAGGGTGTGTAGCCAAGCATTCGGACGCAAGAAGCAATTCGGTGCATTCGAAAATCAAAACAATGCACGGCATCACATCACGGCAACATCATCCTTAGCGTGTCCTTGACGAATGTCATTCACCTGCATCACGCAGCCCGAATTGTGTGGGGGCTGCGCTGTTCCCCTTGCCATCCGTAGCACCACATGATTCGGCTTCGTGGTACAGGGCAGCATCCACGGATTGCCACCCGGAAATAGTCTAAATGTTTATCTGAAATCCTTAAAATTAAAGCCGTTCTTCTATTCCTTTCCAGGGAGACGGAGGGCGTACCCTCGACCGCCATTCGGGAGATCTCATTGCTGAAAAACCTCAAGCACAAGAATGTGGTGCAGCTGTTCGACGTGGTCATCTCGGGGAACAATCTGTACATGATATTCGAGTACCTTAACATGGACCTTAAGAAACTGATGGACAAGAAGAAGGATGTGTTTACGCCGCAACTTATTAAAGTGAGTAATTGCTGCTGATATGCCCCCAGATTGTCAACATCGGTCCTTTTTAGAGCTACATGTATCAGATCTTCGACGCCCTAGGATTTTGCCACACGAACCGCATTCTACATCGTGATCTCAAGCCCCAGAACCTACTCGTAGACACTGAGGGCAAAATAAAGGTGGGATAATTTGATTTCTTTTCGTGTCAATCAGCTAACACTCCATTTTTAGTTGGCCGACTTCGGCCTGGCACGCGCCTTTAATATGCCCATGCGAGCATATACCCATGAAGTGGTTACCCTTTGGTACCGTGCTCCGGAAATTCTCTTGGGCACCAAATTCTACTCCACCGGAGTGGACATCTGGAGTCTAGGTTGCATATTTGCTGAAATGGTATGACTGTCGAATGCGTAGTGATTCTTTCCATAATAATTACCTACTTACAGATCATGCGCCGCTCCCTCTTTCCCGGGGACAGTGAAATTGACCAGTTGTACAGAATATTCCGCACTTTAAGCACTCCTGACGAAACCAAGTGGCCGGGAGTGACACAGTTGCCAGACTTTAAGGCCAAGTTTCCAAAGTGGGAGGCGAATATGCCGCAGACCATCACCGAGCACGAAGCCAACGATCTGATAATGGTGCGTGAAAGTCATTCCACTCCAGAGACACATTCGATATATTTTTTTATTTTGTCTTACAGTCCATGCTGTGCTACGATCCCAACCTGCGCATCTCGGCCAAGGACGCCCTGCTGCACACCTACTTCAAGGATGTGCAGCACGTTGATCATGTGGCCCTGCCTGTAGACCCCAATGCTGGCAGTGCCTCCCGCCTCACAAGGCTCGTTTGATCGTGCCACCCCCAGACCAGATCTAGCAAACTACTTGTGATCTTTAGTATAGTAAGTCTCATGTCTACCTCGTTAGCGTTAAGGTGAACTAGTGCAATTATACGTTATCTACATTATCTAATCTCTCTTGCAGCTGCCAGCTCCATTTCATTTCACCATCACTCGCACATAACTATCAACATCCGAACAAATACACGATCATCCAGTACATACAGCGTTTATTCAAGACAGGTTAGCCTGGCTCACCAGGCGCCCAGCCGAAAGAAGCGGCGTGGATGACTGCGGGGCGATACTTTGGCCTCGGCATCAAATGCTCCTGCTCCCTCACTAGTTTGCCTCTGACGCTGCCGTGAGTGGCGATCGTCGCGCATGTACGCGCCCAGAGCATTGCGCATGCTCTCGGAGAGAGGTGAGTGGGTTGCCATATTGTTCTCTTCCTCGCCAATCGTTGAATCCCCCGATGCACTGCTGTCGTCGGAATCGTTTTCGGTGTCCTCAATCGTATCGTCGCTCTCATTGGTCGTTCCTGGCTCACTGAATTCTGTTAACTTGGCTGGAGATGGGGCTTTAGGTGCCGACACCGGCAGGGGGCGCAGTAGGGTAACCTTTCTGTTACCGAGCCTCCGCATCACGGCCGGCTTCTCCTGTTCGATCTCCCCTTGCTCCGCTTCACCATGCTGCTGGTTAGGGTAGTGGTAGAAGCTGGACTGGAAATCCTGCGGACTGAAACGCTGCACTCCGTAGTAGCTGCCGGAGTTGGTGTCATAGAAGAACATCGGCTGAGTGTGGGCTGGATGCGGCGGTGGTGCATAGTAGGGCTCATACGGGCCATAGGGATCTTCGCTTTCATCTGAATCGTATACGGGACGTCGCTTTAGCTGCTTGCGGCGCTTCCGTTTGCGCTTGCTGGAACTCTGCGAAGCCACTGGGGCAGACTCCTCATACGGCAGTTCCTGATCGTCTTCGTAGGATTGAATGAGAACGGGTGATGTTTCGATGATATTGGCACTGCCGTCGTTGAAAAAGTTCGCTAGCGGATTGGTCAGGTTGCGGAAACTGAAGGCAGGCTGGACACTGCGAACGAAGCTATTCCAGACCCGGACCAAAGGGCGCTCTGTGGTAGTGGTCGGAGCTGCTTTCCCCAAGCCATGGACATACCGCCTCCTGTATCCACCTTTGGGATTTGGCAGGAGGACATACTCGATGGGATAGTTCCTGGAGCTGTAATTAACCAAAAATGATTACCAAGGTGCCACTTAATAATCCATCGTAACACCAGATGTAACATGCCTTATCTTCGTCTGCTTCTCGGGCCACCGCTGTTGAATTTCCAGAGCGGATATTCTAACTGCTTGGGCAGGATAACTCCAAGCCACAAATATTAACAAGGCCACACAAATTGGCCACTGCATGGCTAAATACTGTACTGGATACGAGCTAGTGATAAAAGCGTCCGTTGTCGTTCCCGGTCGAGGGCCAACTAATACTCCTCCGAGTGTTGATTTCCGTGGTCAACACCTGGAGGGCACTGTCTTTGTCTTGTCAGCGAGCGCATCTCATTAGAACAGCTTTTATGGGACCACCGAACGGTTAGCCAAACTCTTAGCCAAATTGATTTGTAATAGCATTGTTTCCAGTCCCAGTCCGTGTCGGAGCCACACTAACTCAAGCCGACAGTAAACCAACTAACCCAATTCTACGACCACATCTCCCCCGGGCCTCGTTGTCACCTGCCAATTCCGCCCATACATATGCAAATAGATTTTTATAGATTACACAATTAATACGCCATTCAAGGTGTTGGCTGTGACTGAAAAAAAAAAACTCGTTTGCCGATGGATTCTGATTTCCAAAATTATGCAAAGCTGTCTGGGGATGAGTTGCGCATCGCGAAATGCTTTCTCCAGACGAATTTGTGTTTATGATGGCTTCTCCTTATCCAGACTTTATGATCTGGCTAAAGATGTGGGTATTAATGGGTGCATTTTCTTGGCAGGCAGTATTAAAATTTGATGGCCCAACAATGCTGATTCTGATGGGAACTCCAAATGGTCGCAAAAGATGGATTTAACTAATTTGGCAATCTTTATTGCGGGGGAATTGGGAGCACTCTGCAAATTAAGATGAGATGTTTTTTGTCAAATCAAAGTCTTGGAAAAGAATTATAACACTTTCTAAAATGGGAATCCAAATTGGGCTAAAGTCGTGATTTATAAATGATTAGTTGTTTATTATTTAAACAAATCTAATTCACTGATATAAACAACATTATAAAAGCTTAATCCTGATTCCTTTTATTCATATTTATATTCACTTTCAAAGAATACCAAGTGAACACTTACCTGAAATGGAAAAACGCTTCCTCTGGCCATGATGATAGACAACAATCGATTTAAAAACAATTTCATTGACTTGCAATAACTTATTTTCTACCGGCAATCACGGAATGTGGAAATCCTTATCAACCAAAATCTCAAGTCCGACTTCCTTTGCCAGGCAATTTACTGAGTCCTTCAAACAGCTGAACGTTTAAGCGGCGCAAAAAATGAAAAGGCAAACAAAACAAAAAACCAGAGAAAGAAACGCAAAGGAAAATTCCTAACAAGTGTTTTTCTTTGCGGACCCGATTGGTGGAGAGGAAAAGCGCCGAGAGCAAGCCGTGGCCCAGAGAGAGAGGGCTTTCCAAGTGCGAGAGTAAGGCCAGGAAAAGCTCCGACACTGGCTTGGGCCGCTGGCGAGGTAGCTCAGGAGTCGTCGTCGGGTCAGTCACATTGAGATTCCTGGCCAGAAACGACACGGGCTCCCCAGAAACGGCCGCGGCGCGTGCTCTAGAAAAGGAAGGCTGGAAAAGCGCCAGCAGCAAACGGTAGAACGCCAGAAACGCTGCTGTCACAGTTTCCACCTAAGTCTAAGGAAAACAAGTCAAAAGGCTCGTTCAAGTGGCAGTTGCTTTTTTTTCGGGCCAAGCCAGCGCTTCGTGTGTGTGTGTGCGTGCCTTTTGTGAGTGTGCGGCCCCCCTAGTATCTGTGTGACTGCCCTCCGCGCCCCAGCGTGCGTGTGTGTATGTGTGTGGTGGTGTTGTGTATCTGTGTGTGCATGCGTTTTGTGTATCCGTGCTCCAAATTTATACCCAGCATATTTTTGCACATTTAATTGAATTAAGTAAAGGGCTGAGCGGATACAAAGGCGACCGTCGTCGTGGTCGTGGTCGTCGCCGCCGCCAGCGTGGTTTCGTCCAGTTCCAGTCGAACCCGTCCGCTCGTCCCTCCCATTCGCCCGCTATCTTTATATAAGAGAAAAGAGCGCAAGACGGCGAGAGAATTGCGTAAAGTTCGTGTGCCGTGGGAAAATGACATTAAGTGCTTAAGTAAATTATATAAAAACATTAAACGCCTCGCCAAGCATCCATAACATAACCCATCCGAAGCGACAGCTGTGCAGCCTGGAAAAACACTCCCCCCCCCACCATCGTCTTGGACGCCACCTAAAGATAAACGGATTCGCCAGGCAATTTCCCATGCTCTGCATTCACAAGGCGAAATGAAAAATTCAGACACAACCCAAGTCCCAAGTTGTCACAACTGTCTGGTGTGGGTTGTGAGGGGGGTGGTTGCGCTGGGTGGGTGGTCTAGATTTTCGACTACTGTCAAGGTGGGCGCCCACCTCAAGGCCTAGTCACTAACCCTAAACCCGACCACAAACACAGGGAAACATACACACGCTCGGAGCGACGAAAAAGTATCTTGGCGGGCGTTTTGTTTCCATTTTCAGGAGCGCATTTGTGCTTTCCAAGAGCAGCACGGGGAAAAAAAATCTAAAAAATGTTGATTACATTTAATAAGCATAACTGAAATTGCTGAGAGATTATAATATGCATGGGAATAGTATGCAAAGTTCAGCTACAAAGTAAAGCAAAACTTATTAACATTCCATTTTGGAATTTTAAAAAGATAACAAGGGAAAACATTGTTATGCTTTAAAGGAAATTAAGAATCCTTTTCATCTTAAGTGATTATCAGGATTTAAGCAAAATTTCAATCCACAGATCAATCGCACTTTTAGGGCCCTTAACCTTTTCATTTCGAAACCGAGAATAGATTACAAATTAATCCCTTCTATTTTCTCTGTGTCCCAGGTGACTTTCTCTGTCGCTGATGTTGTTGTTGTTTTTGTTGTTATTGTTGTTGTTGTTGTTGTTGTTTTTGGTGAGCAGGTGTCTGACTGCCACAGTTTTTGGCGTCACTTTCGTTTTCGTTCTCGCATTGCCCTCGCTCAAGTGCTGTGCTTGACCATAACCACTAAAAATGTCACATTGCGTATACGCCGCGTGGTGTCCTCGACCGCGGTGGGTGCTCTTGTGTTGTTACTGTTGCTTGTATTTGCGGTGTTGTTGTAAGCTCTTTTACTTTGGACACCAGCACCCCCGCAAAGCTGCTCTCTCTCTCTGTGTATGTGTGTGCGTGTTTTACTCATGGGGCTGTGCTCTCTTTCCTGCCACACTTTCTCTCGTTCAGCTGTTTGTTTTGTTTTGAATCGCATTTCGCCTCGAACGACTGGAGGAATGCGCTGTTTATCCGTGTGTCTGTCTATCTGTCGTTCGGTCGGTCATCTGGTCACGTTTTGTGGCACCTCCAGCTCCTTAAGACGAGCCCGCATAGCCGGCAATTTAAATTTTATTGTGATTTTTATTCTCGGAAAGAATAAACACAGAGCGTAGCTTTTCTTAGCGTTGCTTTATAGAGCAATTTGGCGCCTAAAAGTATGCTCCGGCACGCCGATAAAAGCGATGTGTCTACATTAGCCTGACGAGACTTCGGGGAAGGGTGGATGATAAAAGATGAAACTTGCCAGCAATTTAATATTTAATCCTCCTGGTTGTACTTTGATGTCCCTTTGTAGCCGAGCCTATGTTGAGCATAGTTGTTGGTCGACGACGACACATCAAGCCATCCATTCAGTGCACAGCGCGAAAAAGGTGGGCAGATATATCCTTAATAATATACATATATATGTTCAAGAATATTGCAAACTGAAAAAGTTCATAGAGAAAGAAGCTATAGGGATATTTATAATTGATTTTGAATACAAGAGATTTCTGTGGAATGCTGGTTTATTTATAAAACTTCAATTGAAGTATCATTATTTGCTTTCTATTTTAGTTCTCTAACCAAAGTTTGCTTTTTCTCAATTCATCGCTTGGATTTCCTCGAATTTTGCCAGTTAAGTCAATGTCTTGGCATTCGGCCAATGGCAAGGCAACCCAGCTGCTCTCTCCTACAGCCCCCATTGCTTCCGCTTCCGTTCTGCCGGGTTTTTTTGCAACATTTTCGGCTGTCTCCTGTCGACTGGCAGACTTTTATGCCCACAAAGGGCGGACTGGGCTGGCGGGGAAGGGCGATGAAATTTCCATATTCCTCGCATTAGCCAACTAGCGGCGGCTGCCCTGCGCTGAGTGACTGCTCATTAAAATGCTATAAGTGTATGAACAATTTGCATGTTGCACGAGCTTCGAGCTGAGAGCTGAGAACGAAGAGCTATGAGCTACGAGCTACGAGCCTCGGTTCTCGCGCTTCCAGATGAATAATTAACACCCCAGGCAAGACCTGTTGGCACCTGCTCTATGTCTTGTTTATTTTTCGCTCAGGAGCGTACAATCAGTGAGTCGGAATTCTGGTAGATAAAGTCCAGATAGTTGCGGATGGCCAGGAAGCTGGACATGATTCGGTTGTCGTGCCAACGCCAGTCTATCATCAGGCCCACCAGGTAGAAGTTTTGGGTGGCATGATTCTTCACCTGCATCCCGACCAGCGGTGCCCCCATATAGAAGCGCTCCGGCATGTTCTGGTAGCCGCAGACCGTGGTGCTGCTGGTCACCAGGGAGCTGACCTTCGACTGGCAGAAGGAGCGGCTATGTGTGTTCACCCAGACCTTCAGTCGAAGGTCCTCCGCGGTCCGTAGCCCAGCCACTATGAATGTCTGAGCCACCAGCGTCTGGTTGACCAGGTGGGGCGGTGGCATACAGATGGGCATCACGTTCGCATTGAGCTTCGCTTCCCGCTGAAGGGTCAGAACCGCCAGGCTGTTCTTTAGCGTCAGGGAATCGTACTCCGGGTGGATGGCCACTTCGGCCAGCTTGATCTCCTGGGCCGGGCGCACGCAAAAGCCATCCGGATCGCAGGAGGGCTCATTGATGGGGGTGCTCTTGTTATAGACGCCCAGGTGCACGGAAAAGCCCTCCGCCATTCCATTATACTGCACGAAGCAGTAAGCTGGGGCCAGCACCGTTCGCTTGGATATTAACACACCCAAGCAACCATTCTCCCGGATCTTGCCCTCGAAACCTGCGGAGAGTGATTAAATGCTCTCATCCGATACATATCAATAACACACAATGCTCACTCACCCTTGGTAAAAGTGATCCGGGCCAGCCACTGCTGTTCCGTGGGATAGGCGAATCTTGTTTGCTTTAGCAGGTTATCCTCATCGAAACTTCCGCACTGAACGTTATCCTGGGCGGATTGTACTTCGGACACAATCTGAAGGAGTCCCAGTAGCACGGTGATCAGTGCGCTGTGTCCAAGCATTCTAAAGCGTAGCTCAAAGTCAACTGACAACGGGTTGGGAAAACTTGAAAATCTCCGACTAGATTTCTCAATGCAATGCAATGGGGTTTATCCAGAGACTTATGATAGATATGAGCTTGATTACACGGAGAAAAATCCACTGAAACTTAACTTTAAAAGTAGTATTCTAATTGCATTAAGTTGGGAGGATTTCCTGTAGGAAATTTCGCTTAAAAATACAATAATTTATACTTTTCAGTCATAGGAAAGGTATTGACTTGAATTTATTGGATAAATGAAGCCCTGTATGAGACCTATTTATCTTTCTGTGTAGCAAGTTGTTTTTCTAATGGCGCCGCCTCTGATTAATGATATTCAATTACATTTCTCTTATTGAAAACCCGTTCGCGATACGGAACTATGGGCAGCTCCCATCACGATGCATCGGTAATTTTCGAAACACCACAAACATCTTGCTTCCTCGAAGGTAAATTTATTGGAGATTTGCTAATACATATTCATTGGCAACGTTGTGCAATATGTCAATGAGTTGTGGCATCTGCCTATTTCGTCGCAGACTTTTCCATTATCCATGAGCGGGCTTGGCGCACATCCTGATAGATTTGTGTGGTGGCATCCCCGGAATCCACAGTCCTTACGAGCAATGCTACCAGGTAGAAGCTATGCGGCACATCGCGCTGCACATCGACGTCCATGAGCGGTGCACCCGGAAAGTACTTGGTACGCTTCGCAGGGAAGCCGCACAGCTGGTACTCCGGAGGCAGAATGGACTCAGTGCCGGCTATCAGAGATTTGCACTTCCGCCGGGACACCGTCATGGCCAGTCCCTTACCCTTGCGCGAGTCGCCTGAGTTGAAGCCTGCATAGTGCAGGTTGCGATTGATCAATGACTCCGGCTCCGACCCACCCTGCATGCAGATCGGCTGAATCCAATTGTTCCACTTGACTGGCTCCGACAGACGCAAGACAGCCAGGTTGTAGTCGCCGGTGTCCTTGTCTGAATTCGGGTGCACCGTGATCCTGTTGACAATGCGCGGCACAGGACGCGGCGTACAGAAGCCCAGAGAATTGCAGTCAAGCTCATCCCCCGGCGTAAGATTTGAGTCATACATGCCCAAGAGAACCACAGCGTTGGTGTTCCCTGACCGGGTCTTGAAGGGCTTCATGCAACTGGCAGTGGTGAGGACGTGCAGCTCGTTGACGATGACCACAGAGCATCCTGCCTTCTCATAGTGACCACCTGTAAAGGTTTAAATCTCCTAGAATGTAATGGCAAACTATCCTCTGACCTACCTTTGTCTTCCGCCAAGAGACCTATCCAGGGCATCTCGGAGGGCTCCGTCTTAATGGCAGTGGTGTACATCAATTTCTCCTCGAGGCGACCGCATTGGGAATCCGCCAGGGTCAAGGCTGTCAAGGCAAACGGCAACGTAAATGTGACTAGTAAAGATTTAACTTGAATGCGCAACTCACCCGCCAGCAATGCCACAACTAAAAGCTGAACAAGTTTTCCGCTTCCAAGCATTTCCATGTCGATCTGCTTCCAGTGCTCAGAGTTAACTAAGCTCAGATCGAAATGGTACTCGAACAAGCTCACAAGTTATTAATTAACAATTCCAAATCTCTCTCACGTTGTTAGACTCAGATTCAGTATCGATTTCGTGCTCTCTGACTAGACTTTCAGATCGATTGAATATGGCCAATCGCTCTTGGCAAAACAGGCAATTATCAGGACCCTCATTATATAGCCATTAGGCCCTCACAATTCCTGGGTCTACACGCTCCCCGAGGACCCCGAGGATGTGCATTTGCTCAAGACCGCCTCCAACTAGGCTGAATAATTAATGTTTCAATTAGAATACTATTATCGGGGGCAGGCACAGGCCGCTCAGCGGGATGCGAAGGTGAAGGACAGCGAAGGACATTGTAATTTAGCCGGCCTCGGAGAGGGGGCTGGACTTAACACTCTACTAAAATGCTTACAAATTGCCCGGCCAGATCCGGTTGGCAGTTTATTGTCCACTCAACCAAACTCAACTTGACCTGCTCGGGCCGGGGCGTTCATAATTCGCATTGTTATGAATCCCACTGAACCCGCATCCTTCTGCCCTCCTCGCCCTTTGTGGGCATCCAATCAATGTGCTCCTAGTTGGGTCCGGACTTTAATGAACGACTGGCTGGTTGGCTGTTTTGCTGGATGGCCGGCCATTCGGCAGTGCTCATAAAACTTGCCTGCCCTAGCCTTGAGTGGGGCCTAGGCCAGAATGTATCCCCGAGTCGGTGGCGGAAATGGAAAAGGGGAGACGGTGACGGAGACGGAGACCCATGCAAATTGTTTGGACCCTGAGACGACTGAGCGTGGGCATTGGGTGCGCCTTAAGCTTGTAAAGGGTCGAGAAATGGCCTCCCACTTGCGTGTGCCTCAATCCTTAATCGCTGGAAGCACGTGAGCAGCCTGATTCTCGGCTCCTGGGTTACCGCTGCAGGGCTGGAGCACGGTTGCCCGAATCGAACTGAATCATTGATTAGGTCTCGCAGGACCTCATTTTAAAGTGTACATTTAAGGCAGCCGGAATATTTGTTTTAGGTTAAAAGAGTTTTGTATTTGTTACCTAGTTTCAGTAGCAAAAATTTCTTAAAACTAGGAGTTAATTGATTAAACTCAAAGCCAATGATTCTTAAAGCCCTGACATCCAAGTCAGTAATTTTCTCTTATTGGCCAGTGCGATATAATTGCAATTTGGTGACTACACATAGCCTTATTGAAAGTTTAATAACTATTTTTTAAGTCTTGTTGGAAAGGTTTAGGTTTTTAGGAAACAATAAGCAAAGATTTGTATTACATCTCTTGAAAAGGCTTTACATTTATTGACATTATGTCTTTTGCATTCAGACAACGAAGGAACGTTTCAAGGATAAGAATAATTCCCCTTCTCCTTGTTCTTGCAGGATCCAACCACTATGAGCAATAAAGGAGCGCGACAATGAGGCAGAATGACGCGTGACGGCGAGATTCCAGCCATCTTCAATCCGAAACGGGTGCGAACTCCTTCCGTGGTGGTCACCGGCGACTCATCCACGAATGGCCCATACAATAATAACAATAGCGGCGGCGGCGGAGCGGGAGCCAGCAGTAGCAGCAGCACGGCAGTTGTGGTCGCACCAGGATCGACTGCACCCAATGGCAGTGGGACTGGAGCGACCGGCAGCTGCGGTTTCAGCAACGTGCTCACCTCAAGCAACCCGCAAATAACCCACCAAGACTCGATCTCATCGAGCCAGCAGGATCCCAATGAGGTGATCATCATACCGGCCGACACACCCACGAGTGCTCCCGGTAGCCACAATGCAGCGCATCACTTTGGCGGCGGTGACTCCAGCGACACGCAGACAGAGCAGCACCAGGCCAATGGACATGGAGAGGAGCCGGAACTACGTTTCAGGAAGCTGCAAGCGTGCAAGGAGTCGTGTTGCTCCGAGTTGGCCCGCAAGGTGAGGTCAACAAAAGGATTATATTAGCAAACAAATTTTAATAATGGAATGATTATTATGTACAGATGTACTTTGGCGTGTGCGTGACCATCCTGATGACCGCCTCGTGGGTGGGGGCCACCCACTGCATCAAATACATGTACAAGTACAGAGCTCCGTACGACGACGTGCTAAACGACGACCAGGACACGTCCTCAAGCCGCGCCGAGCTGAGCACAGAGCTGGAGGACATACTGGCCATCAGCGACTCATCGCTGCATCATGTCGAGGACGCCACCGAGATGTTCAACATACCACCGCGCCAGCACGTCTATTTCAGTGCCCCGTTCTTCGCCGCCTGGTTCTTCACCAACTTCTCGCTGCTCTTCTTTCCCATCTACATCCTGGGATTAGTCTCCACGCGCAAATGCGAGAAGCTGAGCGACATCCTTGGCGACGTGGTGCGGGGATTCCGGGAACGCGGCTTCACAGTGGGTGAGTTTTGTGTTTGATGCCCACTAGGGTTTCCTATATATTCCCCTAATCGCTTCCTATCCATGCAGGTCGCTTCCTCAACCGCTGCCTCTGCTTCTGCATTTTGTGGCTGGTCACCACCTATCTGTATACGCTCTCCCTGCACGTGCTTTATGCCACGGATGCCCTGGCTCTGTTTGCCACCAATGTGGCCTGCGTCTATCTGCTCTCCTGGGTGATCCTGCACGAGCAGTTTGTGGGCGTGAGAGTGAGTAAATGACTATACTTTCCTACATTTATAAATTAACTATTTATCCTTAAGATCGTGGCCATTATCCTCTGCGACACAGGAATCGCACTGCTCGCCTATATGGACGGGATCACAGAGAGCCGCACCCTAAGCGGCGTTGTCCTGGCCACGCTTGCCGGCGCCGGTTATGCTGTCTTTAGGGTGAGCTCACAGTTTACTCTGCCTTTTCGTGTGCAGACCATGTCGTGCTCATGTTGGCCTGTCCTGTCGCTTTCCAGGTTATGTTCCGCAAGGTGATGGGCGATCCACCGGTGAGCCAAATCGCCTTCATATTCACCGCCCTGGGCTTTCTCAATGCCCTGCTGCTATGGCCCGTGGTGCTGGGACTCTACCTGACTGGCACGGAAAGCCTGACATCGGAGAGCATACCCTGGAACCTGCTGTTCGCGGCGAGCCTCCTGCTCCTGGGTAGGAACTACTCCCCAGCTCCTTGCATTTCTACTATGCTGCCAACTTTTATCGTTGTAATTAATTTTGATTGCAGTTTTCCACGTTCTGATGCAGTTCAGCGCCGCCGTAACGTACAACATGTTTGTGACATTGGGTCTGATTACCGCTGTGCCCGTTTCTGGTGGTATGTACACGGACGGGCTTCTCCCCAACATGAATTCAAAGGGGGAGTCTTGGCTAGGGGTCCCCTTCGGCATGACGGATTCCGTGACTATAAATTGTTTTAAATTGTGATATGAAATCCGGGCACTCATGTGGGGCACGTGAAATCATTTGATCCTAGTGGTCCGGAGTGGGTGGAATGCGACATAAATTTTCACATACAAATGTATGTATTATATTCCTAGCCGTGTTGGAATCCTTTCTATTCAAACATTTGAACATATAATCGATATTTTAAGGTAGTAGGAAGGTATTACAAGGAGGCAGTACAAACGTTAGTTCCCCAAGATTTACTGATATCTAATTCAATTTTAATTTTTCAACACCTGTAGCCCTCGATGTCATACTGTACAGTGCTAATTTTGCGGGCATGAAGCTGGCCGGAGTGATTCTAATCGGCATCGGATTTTTCCTCGTTATGTTCCCTGAAAACTGGCCAGACTATATAACGCGATTGTTGCGGTAAGTGGGAAATATTTTTGGACTTTACTCATTATTGCTACGAATAATTGTTATGCCAATTAATATGCTAATTTTCTTTTTTTGTCAGAGTAAAGACTCGTGCGTGTTTGGTTTGAATATTTAACGGCCTTAGTTGATTTCGGTTGTAATTCACTTTGCGTTTCATTTTGAATATAGTTTAATTTGTGTTAACTGCCACCGCCGTGTGGCATTAATGACTAAAAGCAAACAATTAAATAACTCATCGAAGAAATTAAAGTTTCTACCCATGTTTGATTTTGATAAAATGCCATTGATTTCCTGTATACTCACATAAACTATATATTTAATTTTATATAAACAAACATCTTGCAGAAAGAGCGTTCGTGCCATACTCCGTTACCAATGTTGTTGTGAATTAGCCGAAATTCGCTATGCTCATTCGGTAGGCCAAAAACACAAGCTAAGCCAAAAACCCATAACCCAAACCACAATTAAAACCAAAAACATAATACAACCCTTGATCCAAGACACGTTTTTAGATATTAACTAGAATCGTTTAGGCCAGAATAAGATCTGTGTTTACACTAATCTAATAACTAATAACTAAACTCTTTTTCAACTTTGACTTGACATAGTGCTAATGATAAGTAACAGAAACTTGGCAGATTTTTTACTGAATACACTATGAAAAACTTCAATGCTATCTTTAGGTCTATAAACATCCTCCATATATATATCCTCCCACAAAACAACAAATACAACACCTTGGCTTCCAAGTTTTGCGCTCACCCTTGTTGAAAGAAATATCTAGACATGTGTATCTCTGTTACTATATACATATATATTTAATTGCCTTTATGTACACACCCAAAATAACCATATACCGAAATATATACCTCCACACACACGTTTTACGAACATATATCCAAAAATATATATATCGTTACCGTTACCGATTTACCAACACCAATTACCTCGGCTGTTGTGCAATTGGTTGACAATCCCCATCTCGTTGTTGTTCTTAACGTTTTTTGGCGCAGCCTTTACTATACATGTACTTATGTTAACTACCCGTATTGTTGATACGTTTGATGATTTCGTTAAGTTCCGGCATATCAGCAACCCCCCACCCACCAAGCTCCAGATCGATCTCAGTGCCAATCTTTTGTTTTGACCTTTGTCCTTGTGGTTGTAAGATATATATCCCCATAATATCTGGATGTTGGTTGCTGATGTCGGGGCTCGATTACTGTAGTAGCGTTCGTTCGTTTACACCTCAACACCGACTGTGTATACACAACACACACACATGCCACACACCCTACACAAACACCTGCCTCTACGTATGTAGTTTTGAGTTTCGCTGGTGTTGCGAAAGTTTCCATATAACGATCCACGATCCAAGAACCCCAAGAAACTGGACGCTGGTGACTATTTCTATGACTATAATGATGATGATGATGATGATTCGTTTGGCTGTTTGTTGTGTGATCTCTCCTGAATTGCAGCTTTTTCTAATTGGGTTGAATCTGTTGGCTTGGCCAGTATACCTGTCTTTGGTGTAAATACATTTACTTTTTTGGTTTTCTGTTCTTTTGTTCTGAAACTGTCTGCACCTAGAGAGGAGAGCGCAAGTTATCATAGATGTTATGCAGATGTTAAGACGCAGCATGACGGATCTCTCAGTCCCCTCCTTGATCCAGAGAGCTATGTTTTGATCACCTTTTGCCTTATCATTTTGTCCCAGACCCAGTCCAGGACCCTAATGGCCAGAGGGAAACCGGATGATAACCGAATATGAACGCAAACCCCTTAAGCTACCCTTAAATACGATTAAACCCTAAATAATGATGATATCCATTAAAATGCATTCAAATTGTTAACCGATTGGCATGTTTGAACCGACCTTCGTTTTCTCTTCGTTTTTCGTTTCGAATTGACCGTTTTTCATTTTCCAAACTGATCTACTCTTGAGTTCTACTCCTTTATTTCTGTGCGATCTGTCTGTCTAACTTTAAATTCTTCAAGCTCTACTCTATGCTATATACTGTGCCTACTTCTCTTATATATATATATAAAATACGTGTCGACATTTCTCAATTGTCTTTTTGCAGAAGCATCATAATGCTGGGTCACAATGCGAGGTGAGTTCCGAGATTAGGCTCAGCTGAAGAATTGAATGTGTTTTTTACAACCATAAGCATAAGCAACACTTGGCCCGAAAGGTGAAAGAGAAGGGTTTTTTCGTTATTATACGCCATATATAGGAATACCTTACTCCATAAATACCCAGCCAATACCGAGACAACCAATCAACAAACTTACTTAAATATTTATCCAAATCCAACTGTAAGCGAAGTATGTTTCTTCATTCGATTTCGATTTCGTTTTATATATCCTTAGAACCAGCTCTTGCCTAGACTTTTGATAATTCGGGTTTGATTTGGTTACGTTTGGTTTCCAAAAGGGATTGCAACCGATACTCCCTTCTACTTTATCTCTCGCATCCAACTTATAATTTTGATACCAGAGTAACAGTATGATAGATGATAGCCTTAGCCTTTGGCTCCCAGTCAACTACGACTGAGGGTTAGTCTCGGTCAATCAGTCAATCAGTCAGTCAGTCAGTCAGTCAGTCAGTCAGTTGGTAGCCCCTCGTATGGCCCCGCTGGTGCTAAGGTAAGTCGATCCGAGGGTCCTGCAAAAGCCCACTGCCAGCTAATCTCTCACCAACCATCACCTCATCCAAACCCAATCACTAATTCGCGAGTGGAGCCCCGCCGGAGTAGATGCAATGATCATGATCCATGACCTTCCGTCGAATTCTCCTCTCCGAGAGGAGTATGCTCCGAAATTATAGATATAGCAGCTCTCTATTGGTAGAATCTCCTGATTTGTATATAGTAACACCGCTAATCTGTACTATTGCTTCTTTTTCTTCTTGTTTTTCTCTTCACCTTTTTGCCACAACCTGCCTATCTCTCTTTTTCTCTCTCTCTCTCTCTCTCTCTCTCTGTATCTCTGTATCTATGTATCTCTCTGGTCTATCTCCTGTCTTCTCGAACTGTTCTCTCTCTCTTTCTCCACACACACACGACACCTGAATTTGGCTAACATTGCAAAATACACTGCAAAAAAAAAACGAATGTACATCACCACTAAAAACACACACACATCGAACATGTAGCGGTAGGCCAGCGCTTTGTAAGCGAGACGCTATAGTCACCGGCCCGTCCACCAGATATGCGCAAAGGCACATCACGCGCACGCACCACATAAGCTAAGGGCTTGCGGCGAGTCAATTGTTTAATTGTACAGAAACAAAAGCAAAAACATAAACAAAAAACAGAGAACAGAGAACACGACAAGAAAACGTATATTTTGTAAAAAGATTTTGAAAAAAACACAAAGCCAGGCCAATGTAAAAACCCAATTGCACCACTTGCCAGAAAACGGGGTAAGTACGAAACCAGATTGCATTTGTTATCGATAAGTAAGATGCTGCAAGGTACAGTTGCCACTCGTAGATATAGTACCAAACCGGAAGTCATCTCTTATTTTCTTTTGTTTCGTCTGATCTTCCGCCACTGATATTTTCCTTTTGACATCCCCTCAAATTATGCGTTCTTTTCTCTCTCCCCAATTTCTCTCTCTCTCTCTATATATATCTATATTTCTGCCTGGACTCTTTTCGGATTCTGCTCGCCTCACAGATCGCAGCATATCTATGCTACCCATTACAAACACAATCGAAAGTATTACGCGGTCAAAACCAACTCATATGTGGTTTGAGCCAATATCGCATGAACCCGAACCGTTAACGAAAAACGAAACCTTCAGGGCGGCCAGCGTGTGGCTCCCGACTGTTTTTGCTTAGGTCCATGGCCACTGCCACGCCCACGCATCCCCCCCAGAAAACCAAAAAAGAAAAAAAGTTTTTACAACTGTTATGCGACTGTTAAGAACACTTTTGTACCAAAAAAAAAAAGATTACATTTAGTACCATTCGAGTTTCAGACTGAGAAACTAAAACGAACTAACACGGTGAGAGTCCCCAATATTTGTTTTTGATCAATCAACCCTTAGACTCACCTAGCCTCACCCCAAAAATCCCGACTGCATTCACTCCTGTACAGCTCACCGGATCACTATCTATCTTTATCAAAATTCCCATTTTTTCGGAAAGTCTTTAAGTCTCTCTTCTTTTTAAGTTACCTTGCTTCTGTAATGTTTGCGATTTGCCTTTGTTGTTGGAAAGTATCTTTACTACTTTTGAGCTACTTGTGAGATTTGTGGAGAGCACAGCTTAATGTAACTATTTGTGGCACCCGTAACTTGAACCACCCCGCTTAACCCCAACACCCAACATGGACACACCCACTACTCCAGACACAACACTCACAACACACACACACAAAAGAATTTGTAAATAACCAACACATGACATCAGTAAAAAATCAGTAAAAAGTCTTAGCGCCTAGGCTATGGAGTCTGTGCACTGCAGGGACACGTGACCCCCAATAGGACACCGATGCCCTGCAGTGCAGAGTTCCAAGATATATAGTCGTGCAAGTGCGTACTCTATGTAAATGTGAGTGTTTGTAGCGCCAAATGCATATAGTTCAATAAAAAATGCCTAGAGAATTAACAGAGCTAATGCCAACTGACACAGATGATGAAGAACTTTGAGACGATCGCTGAGCCGGCCGATACTAACATGTGACACCTTATCTTTACCACAAAAACAAAACAATATCTACCAAACACACACACACACACTCTAGATGGGGTCGCGGCCCTCGGAGCGGTACTTCAACAGGTCAGCATCCCACCATTATCGACTATCGGACGGGATACATAAGGTCCCATCTTCGTTCACCCTCTGGCCGTGTGAGATGACTGATCTGTCGCCGACCACCACTGGGTTTCTGCATGGCCACGGCAGCGCCAACGCACAGCATCACCAGCAACTTTTACACCACCAACAGCAGCAGCACCTCCAGCAACAGTTCCACCACCGGCAGCACTCGCTCCACCAGCAGCACCTGCAGCGCCAGCACTCGCACACCTCGCTCACCAAGATCCATCGCCAGAGCAGCAGTCACAGTGTCCACGGTGGCGCTGGACGAGCGGTGGCTGCCGGCGGGACCACCGGACGCCTCTTCTCCTACTTTGGGAACGAGCATGAGCACGAGCACGAGCGGAAGAAGTCGGAGACGTCGTTCTTCAACCTGGGCTTCCGCCGGAAGTCCACCGTGGTTTACTACGCCCCAACCGATTGAGCGGGGACTCCTTGCTCAGGCATATCAGGCGTGTAGCCACTTAAGCAAGAGAATACAATCAGGCAGATTTAAGGACTTAAGTCGGATCCGCTCTTAGTTTGTGTTTGTGTGTGTGTCATTATATCATAGTTAATGTCGTCGTTGTTGTTGATGTAAAAGTTAAATCGGAACACATGCAGTTACAATTTTGCTCAAATATGAAAAACACATTTAAATGCTACAGTTACAGATACAGATACAGATACGGATGCAGATGCAGATGCAAGTACAGATACACACCTGCACGGGGACTAGAGTCTCCATCAGCGCCGGTCAGCAGAGTCCGCGACCCGCATGCCCGTTGCCCATGCCTCGCCTTGAATCTTAGTCTCAATTCCAGGACAAAGAAACCCAGAAAGGAGCCCTCAAAACGAGCTCAAAAGTGCCCCGAAAGTTAACTATATACGGTTATAATTTAATACTCATAATTATTATGAAATTGTATAAGGAATCGAAGCCAATTGTTTTTAGCAATTATATACATACATTAAATATTACGGAAATGATAATAGTCAAATATTTTAAAATGGATTCACTCAATGGCACACCTTAAGAAGATAAAAAAAACGATAACGATAGCGACGGAAACGAACAAAGAAATCCAACTTATTTAAGGCAAATAGTTGATAGACATCACAAATAAAGATCTAACTTCACCCCACAAAGAAACCCATTAAATTGTAAGCTCATCTAGCCACTAGATCCGGATGAATTTTCATTTAAACTCAACTGTGGATTCGATTTTTGTTAAAGTTTTTTATTTGTGAGAGTGAACTGAGTGTGAACCGAGTCAAAAAGAAAAAAAACAAAGCGAAGTATTAGTATTTTTTAAATGTTTATGTGTTGTTCGTAATTTGTAATTAAAAGTGTTGTAGGATCGAAATGAATCAACGAGGATACTGATACTGTTATATTACCGCGACCTCTTATCTGAATCCCCAAAGTCCGGGAATCCCCCTTCCTGTGTTGGCGCATTCAGATCGGAGTTGTGGCCTGTTATATGTATGTACTAAGTTGTGTAGCCACATCCAATAATTGATTTGTGATAGTTTTTAAAAATGTTTGATAACCAACTGCATACACTACAAAACTTTTACCTACCCGCCCCCGAACAGAGGCAGAGGTATAGCTGCGATGTATTTAGATCACACAAAAAGACCGAACACGAAATAAATAGTTCAAGAAAATATTTAAAACTTGTTTTGTTTAACATTTCAACTGGCCCTGGGTCACCTGTCGGTTATTTAAACGCACATCTGTCAATGTAGACTTGGGTTGAAAATTTTTCAGTATTCAAACATCAACCGTTCAAATTAAATCTCCTCCCCTTCCAAAAATTTTGTTTAAATTCTAAAAGGATCAAAAATAAATCAAAGTCCAAATTAGAAATTACTCTTAATATTTCGCGGATAGGAAAGACGGATTGCATAGGCTCGACCAAGCGAACACAATTGATGATATCGAGCCAGTGCAGTCGAGGAACCGCGAACATATATAGAAGATAACGAAATCGGTGGAGAAATTGCGAAGCTCGACGAATCGACGCGACGGGCGACGTTAATTAATATCAAAGTTCCACGATCATTTGTGTTTTGCTTCTTTTACTCCCTAAAATATCATATATTGTGGTAACTTTCGCATTTTCATACAAACCGAGAAATTCAAACATTGGATTCTGATTTTTGATTGGAGCAAGCAAACGTAATACGTTCAAATTATAAATCGTAACGGAAATTGATATCTAGACGAGCAACTGGTATCTGGAGGAGCACATGCAAGATGAATAAGTTTGGTGAGTTGCATCGATCGTTTTTCTACAAAATCATATATATTTGAACGACATTTGTTGTGTGTATAGGATATAGAATCGTTTACAATTATTAGGCACTTAGGGTTCTATTCATTAGGCTAAAAAAGAACGATGTATTGCTGTAAAAAGTCCTGCGATTGCTCTCTTTCGACACTTAAAACTAAGGTAGATTTCATAATACAAAAGAGACTATTAATTGGACGGACTGTCGTAGTTATAGATTTACAATTATTCGAGCAATTAATTAGTTAATTCATAATAAAAAAGGGACTAATCATTGGACGGACTGTCATAGTTATAGATTTACAATTATTCGAGCAATTATTAAGTTAATTCGATTTCATAAGGCACAATGGCTTCTTGCTTTGTACTCAAGTACAAATCGATTGTGGAATGCCATGGGGACATTGCCATCACACCCAAAAACAAAACCAAAAGCGGACACAACCAGGCACTCGAACGTGTTCCGGCAGACGGGGGGCATCCTTCGGAACGGATACATAGAAATGGCAATGAAAATGGAAATGGAGGAGTTGCCCGAATGCTGAGACAGTTACTGCCCACCGCTACTGCCCTGAAATGACTATGAAAAATGTGTGAAAAATATTTTTTGTGCCCCTGTCCAGCTCCTCTACCTATGACCATGGTTGGTTTTTAATGAAAAAAAAAAGCTGGAGATTTCTTTTTTTGCCCTGGCCGAGGAGACCAAGTGGCTGATAAACTGGTTCCTGTGGCGCATAGAAAAAGTTCTCAGGGTACAGATAATAAAAATTCAAGCGCATATGATAATCAAGGCGCAAAAAACAAAGAGCGGAAAAAACGGCAGCATCATCGGCATATACATTTAATTCAGGCAAAAAAAAGAAGCGAATAAAAAAACGCAGCCAACGGACCATCGACGCGATTTAATATAAGAAAAACACGACGGCAGGCGTTGAATTTTTTGTGCCATCCGTTGGCTGGTAGCAAAAAAAAAGGTGTGCATGCGGCGCAAACAACCCTCAGCTTGGACCTGGATGGACCTTCCCGATGGGTGTAGGTACGGGGCCTAACTGGGTTCCGATGTTAACAGGTTTGCGATCGCAACACACACACAGCTGTGCGACTTCACGGACATTAGAGAGGATCTCCGAAGGAGCAAAAGAATGGCAAATAGCGTTTCCGTAATCTGAGCGGAGTAGGCGCGGCTGTTTGCGCTTTTCTGCCGACGCTGCCGTTGCTCTTGCTTCTGCTTCTGCTTCTGCTTTTGCTGCCTTTGATAGAAATGACAAATAACCAGATTCATTGTAATAGATTATGTCTACAACTTAATCGCCTTGCAGATAAATGATGACAATGTTCAAAGGGAGCCTGGCTGGTTGTGTCAGCTCGTTTTGTTTTTGGGTGTCAATTTTTGTGTCTGTCTTGCATTGTAGTTATATATATCTATGTATATATATATATATATATCTTTTGTGGAGAGATTTTATGTGAGTTGGGTTTGGACGGAAGTTGGAATTAGTTATTTGGCATGCGGCTGCTTAACTAAACCTATACAACAGGGTAAGGGTGAGCCCGATTAGGCCGACCACCAGACCCACTGCAGACTGTAGACCAGCGGCGCCGGCCAGCCGACACTTGAACATATCGTAGCGCGTCTCCTTATCGGCCACTATATTCTGATACTCAGCCTCCACGAGCTGACCGTCGTAGTAGGTGATGAGATCCTCGAACGGATACTCGTAGCCCTGCAGGCACTCGCATTTGTAGCCGCCGGTTTCATAGCCACGGCCCATGATAGGAACGCACTGAAATCGTTAAAAAAAATAAATATTGAATCCTCTATGGAAAGAATATAGTGATATATCAATATTCTGTTGATATACATTCCCGGTTTCACCCTTCTAAATATATTATACTCACGTAGGATGACTGTTCGTCGCACTTGTGCGTATCCTTGTAGGCATTCGGTTCATAATACATGTCCGGGCATTGGTTGATGTCCAGCTGCAGCATGTCCATTGAGACGGCCACCACACCCCTGCACAGAGCAAACAAATTAAGTCAGTTTAATTGCTCGAATTTGCATCACAATGCCAAGCCAGGAGTCGAGAGTCAGGAGTCACAAGCCAGAAGTTAGGCTGTCTTGTCAACACTCCAAAATTAGACAATCAAATCCCGGGCATTTGCATGTGAATGGAACTGGGATAGGGATCCGAGAAGTGGAAGTGGGACTGCGCCCTTAAAAAGGGGTTTGAGCGGCCCGCGACAGCGGCACGCATCGGACCGGCCCAACGAGTCTATTAAACCCAACCCCTTGGCCACATACATCCCCTCTACGCATACTCACTTGAATTCCAGTTTGACTTTGAGGCTGTCCCAGCCGAAGAAGGGCGCCGCATAGGTTATCAGCCACTTCTTCACGTATCCGTCGCAGTCGAACTGCGGCTGCGTCCAGTAGCCGTGCTTGAGGTTGGCCGCTCTGTAGAAGTTGGGGTAGTGCTCGTACTTCTGCTGGTATTCACCTGTCTCGTTGTGCCTGATCTTGATCTTCATGTAGAAGGTCTCCAGGTCATCGAAGTTGGTGTTCCAACGTTGCTTGAGGAACTTGAAGTACTTCTTCTCCGTGTAGAGCTCGTGCGTTTTGTTGATGCGCGCCAGGTCCTCCACCTTGAACTTGCGCGTGTTGAGCTCCGTCTTGTAGGCATAGGGTGCGAAGTAGGTGCGATTGGTGAACTTGTTGCGCTCCCAGAGCGTCGATGCGGACCAAACCTTGCTGTCGCCCAGGACAATGGCCAGAGTCTCGCCGATCATTTGGTCTTCGGTCAGTGGCTTGTCCGCAACACGTTTGCCGGAGTACACCTCATTTGGATCCGAAACCTGCCAATGAAGAGAGGAATCATTGTTTTAGTTCCAATTTGGAGGTCAAAGTTTCTCCCCATTTTCCCCATAGAATTTCAATGTCAATACATAGAGATCGAGTTGAAAGTAAGCTCTCATCCCCATAATTTCCTTCGCATCTTGATGCTGCTACTGCTGCTGCTGCTGATGCGGCTGGCCTTTAATGAAGACGACGCCTTGTGGCGAACCCGTTTTTCGTGTCCTCTGCGCTCAAACTAATGAATTTAGCATTTGGTAATGGTTTGACACTGAATATTTAATTCACGCCGCGCGGCTGGCAACGCAAAAGTATCAGCAGGAGCAGCGGCATAAACCGAGAAACAGGCATTGCAGGAAATTCGAGGAAGTTGAATTACGCGTGGAAAATTATAATTTACACTTGAGAAGTTTTCAAGAGCCGCAGTCGTTGTCGAAGGCTCTTAATAGGTGTCGGGTTATCAATTATTGCTCTTCATTTAGCGTGAAGGAGAGCAGCGCTGGGAACGCATCATTTGAATCGGCTGAATCTGGCTTACCTGCAGGAAGGCGCTGATAAAGTTGGCCAGTCGCACGGCCATCTTGGCTTCATTCTCGAACTGCTCTTGGGCGCCGTAACTGACATCGCCGCGCAGAATCAAATCCTGCGGATGGAAGCTGCAGAAACGAGATCACAATCGAGATTAGTAACTGAAAATCTTATCTGCAAAGTTATATGTATCGAACTCACTTCTTGCAAGTGCGGTAGTTTACGCCATGTATGAACTTCAGGGCCTGATCTATGTTCAGGTGCTCTGCGTGAAGAGCCCTCGAACCGGTGGTATAGTTCTGATACTCTGGATGCCTATCCAAGTACTTTTGACGTATGTGATAGGGCGCCTTCTCCCACTGAATGGGCAGCTTTTGGATCCCTGCAAGAATAAATGTGGATGTTAAAAAGGTATCTGAAAGGAAGCCAAGGTTCTTAAAACTTACATCCAATACTGAGACAGTCGTATTCGTTGTAGTACTGCTCCGCCGAGGCCCGCTCGACAATCTCGCCGAGGTAGGGCCGCCGCACAACGTTCGGCAGCCTAAAGCCCGGTTTACAGCGACACTGGTAGCCGCCGCGTCGGAAGCCCCACCCTTGAAGAGGTTCACATTCCGTTGTTTCCTTTTTACAGCGCGCCGTGTCCGCAAAGTGATTTGGTCCTTTGTTGCCTTCGCCCAGGGGACACTGGTTGATGTCTATACGTTCAAAATCCATCTCCAGTACCGAAACAGCAGTGTATCTGGGATTTAAGTTGGTTAGGATGACAGAGTACATCACCATCGCAACAATTATACTTACTTGGGGTACTCAATATGCCGGAACTGGGTGTGGCGAGGGTAGATATCTGCAATGGGCACCACGGCGGCCACCAGCCACTTGTTGGACCTGCCACAGTCAAAGTACGGCCGCGTAAACTTAATCGGACCCGGGTTTTCCTCAGAGCCAGGCGGGCCGTGGAAGGTGTACGTCTCGTTCGTGTTGTTTGCGTAGCGAATCTCCACTTGGTAGGTGATCTTCGTGTCGTGCCGCCCCTCCACGTTGTCCGGCAGCCAGGCACGGTACCACTCGTTGATCTTGTACAGGTCGTGCGTGTAATCTTTCGATATGGAGTCGGGGTGGTGGGCGCCCAGATCCTGCACGTCGAAGGTGTTCCACGTGGAGATCTTCTGCAGATGGATGGGGTCGTTGAAGTCGTCCAGACGGAAGGTGCGAGGTCCAAATCTCGGGAAGGTCTTGTTGAAGAAGCCGCGATACGAGGAGGAGTACGAGCTGTTGGGCGAGAAGTACACGGCCGAGGCGTTGATATGCGGGTTGGCGGAGACGTCGGCCACCGTGGATAGGAAGTAGTACATCATGCCCGGGTCGTAGGTGTCGTTAATGGCAGGCCGAATGAAACGCGACTGTAGGATGTAGCTCCAGAAGAAGCTCCTGCTAAGCGCCATGTTCTGCAGATGCAGCAGCGCCGTCCGATTGGGGAACACCGGGTTCACGTTCACCTCCTTGATGTCCGGCTTGTGGGAGACCGCATCCAAGGGCATGAACAGGTCCGAGTGATGCTGGATGGGGCAGTTATCCGCATTCACCTTGTCAAACT